CATAAACAAAGTAGAGGTTCCAGCCGAATTTAAAACCTCAACCATTTCAACTTTACATAAAAAGAAAAACAAACAAAATTGCGACAATTACCGTGGAATAGCAGTTACTAGTACCATTAGTAAAATCTATGGGAAAATGATCAAAAATAGAATAGAAAGAGAATACACTGATATGGAGGCAGAAGAACAGGCGGGTTTTAGAGCTGGTAGATCGACCATAGACCACCTTTTTTGTATCACCCAACTTATAGAAAAAAAGATTGCTGTAGATCAAGAAGTCCACTTTTTGTTTGTTGATCTAAAAAAGGCCTACGATAGCATCCCTCAAAATAAGTTATGGAACACTCTCAGACAAACGAACATCAACTCAAATCTCATAACAGCAGTGGAAAAACTATATGAGAACGCCAACGCCAAAGTTAAAATAGGAACGAATGTTTCCAAAGGTTTTGTAGAAGACAAAGGACTGAAGCAGGGATGCTGCTTAGCGCCGACACTTTTCAAAATATATCTGAAACATTCATTAAAACTCTGGAAGCGGAAATGCAGCGGCATGGGTATACAATTAAACAATAACAACCTGTACACTCTATGTTTTGCTGATGATCAAATTGTGATTGCTAACGAATATGATGACCTAGAATACACGACTCGAAAATTAATCGAAGAATACAAAAAATGGGGATTAGAAGTCAACATAGATAAAACAATGTACATGAACATCGGTGGTAAAGAACAAAATCTAGTTTCAAACGACGGACAACACATTAAGTACAACAATAAATATTCCTATTTAGGAGTAGAAATCACAGACGACGGCAAATCAGATCAGGCTATAAAAAAAACGAACTGACGTGTGGCAGTAAAAGACAACTACTGAAAGAACACTACAAGCCACGGAGATTGACTACTGGAGACGGGCCGCAGGAAAATCAAAACTCGAAAGAATTAATAACGAACGTATACGAGAGGGTAGGGGAGTCACACATACGATTGTCGAAGATATAAGAGTACAACAACTAAAGTGGTATGGACATGTACAGAGAATGCCAGAACATCGTCTGCCCAAACATATTATAGATTGGTCACCACATGGAAAGAGAAAAAGAGGCCGACCCAGAAAGAGCTGGAGAGAAGGAATAGACAGAGAGATCCGAGAGAGAGGTTTAGACGAAGATCTTTGGGAAGATAGAGATGCATGGAGATTTGGCATCGGAAGACGTCGGAGGACGTTTTAAACCGATAATATATAATATATTGTACTAAAGGACGATTAAAGTATGTTTTCCTAAAAAACATGTCAGATTCATTTATTTTAAATCTAACACCTATTTTTAATACTTTAACAGATTTAATACAATGCTGTCACAACCCACCCCTATACCTGTCACAACTTACCTCGGTAGGAGAGTTGTAACAACGGGAGCGGTCTTTGATTTGGTTGATTTTATCAGAAATCATTACAATTTAAAAAAACTTGGTAATTATTTTGAAAACGGAAAGAATAGCACTAAATTATTTCATATCAATCATACCCGTGGAATGTTTCTTGACCGAGATATGGCCCATAAGGTAAAATTTGTCACAACTCTCCTAGGTCTCCCCTACATGGGACGATATGTAAATGCAAAATGAGCATGAATACACATTGAAGATATAAAAGTTGTTTCGCTTGGTATAAAATAAACTATGTATACTTCATATATTCAATAATAAAAAATTACAAAATCAGATGAAGAAGATTTAATTTAAAATACGTAAAAATTTATTCGTAGATTTGTTACTACTAGAATTAATTTTATTTCGGTAAAATCACATTACCTCCTGCACTGGTTCGATCTATTGCAAAATATGGCGAAGGAACTGGTTAGCACTAAACTATGATTTCTAAGAAATTTTATATTTTTGAATCTTGATATTTTAATTATCTGGAATTAAATCACAATTGATTTTAATAAAAATTGTATTTAACTTTTAATTTTGACGTTGTTATTTATACCCCAGAAATCGTTAAAAAATATATAAAATGAGGAATTATTTAACTGTAAAAATTTGGCCCAATAAAATAAAAAACCAAATATATTTTATTAAATACTTTATTAAGTGCTTTAACAGATGTAATAAACGAAATATGTTTTAACATTTCTGTTTTTTATATAATGGCACATATCATATTTGTATCAAAAATATAGAGATTAAAAATACTACATTGTTTACCGGGTAGGAAAAGCTTAACATTCCTGGACGACTGTGAAGATTGCTAAGTCGAGGCGCAAGCCGAGACTTAGCAACACAATGTGGCTTTTCTTACGAGGTAAACATACTATTTTTCCGCAAATCGTTTAAAATTCGACAGATATTGATTGATTTAAAAAAAACGCGATAATTTTATTCCCAAATAAATGGTGCTTTGAAATTCCTAATAAAATTACTTGGGTTACTATGGAAACGTATTGAGGTTGAATTGTCAAACTTGACGCTTATAAATGTGGACGTAATTAAGGGTACTGTTTTATAAATCCGATATACAAAAATTTATCTTAAAAATGTATTCAGCAATGACTTGATGTTTTCAAAATATAAATTAATTCCTTATAAGCAATGTGTTTTCTATCATTTATGTAGAACACTAACAACTGTACAGAAATATCATTTCCTTACAGTAAGGAAATGACATTTCCTTACAGTAAGGAAGTCCTGACTTTTTCTTCAAGAAATTTTGACAGGAATGTCAAAATTTCCTGGCGATTTGCGGAAAAGTATTTAAATGAATTTTTCTACTCTCTTACTAGTAAATTGTATAGTACCTACTATTTGGATGCTAAGTAAATGCATCATTACAGATACTGACACGTAATGACTAGCACGTAATAAAAAAAATTACGCTTCAGTTTTATAAAAATGTGTAATATCACATAAGCCTCGTAAGTCAGTAGGTCGAGTTACCATGGAAACGAATTAACAGACGTTATTTTGACAGATTAAAAATTATTAATCTGTCAGTGTCAATATAGTGGTAATTTAATTTTTATTTTTATAAACGAAAATAATCGTAGAAAAAGTATAGTACACAACTTGAGTTGTAAGCTTATTACATGCTTGTAAAATTACTGCGCTCGCCGCTACGCGGCTCGCGCGCAACTTTTTTACTCGCATGTAATAAGCTTCTTACAACTCTCGTTATGTAATATACTATTAACGGTCAAAGAGGAGAGAACTTAAACTATTATTGGTCAATTTCTTTGTATTGGAAAATAGTGCTGTGGAAATATATGGCTTTACTTGTAATAAATTAAAACGTACGCGTCGAAATTTGTACTGTCGCTTGTATATTGTATGGTACTGGTTTGAGTGTGTTTAGGCGAATGGTAAAATCCATGATTAGATTGGATCTATAAAGGGTAGTAGGTCGAGAATATCTTTATATTTCAAATAGCCTATGGGTAGAGGATCATTATAAGATGGAAGTATCTGAAAATTAGACATGAAAGTTGACCTTGAAAACGAGGGCTCGTCATTTTTATTACTGATACCCAGTCCTGTGGAACTGAAACTGTGGTGTTTCTTTTTTCACGAATCTCTCTATCGTAGCATGGTCTGTATCACATTCTAAATGAGTATGACCAGGAAGTAGGAACTTATGATAAATTTCTTTTAGAGTTTTTTTTTCTTCAAGTGCTTTTAAAAACATAATCGGTAATATATTACTTCGGTTTTGACCTGAGCACATATCACAATAGAGGACTAGTTTTTCTACCTGTTCTGGCAAGTCTTTAATAAACTAAAATACTATTGTAAACAAGATGCGATCTCATTAGCTCCTTGTTGAGCTACACTTTCGTGCCACACATAACAAGATGTCCATTTTGTGGTGATATTGCGGATCGTCAAATTGAAAGTCCATAACTCTTTTTTATAGAAAACCACACTAGATGTCAAATTTGGTGTAGCCAAACACTTCTGCAAATCAAATTACTGACTTAAAAAATTTAATAAAAACGAGTCTATTGAAATATGTCAAACGATGTATAAACATTTGATTTAACTTTAAAGTAAGAACAATTTTCGATAAAAAAAGAACTAGTCAATCTAATATCCGCCTAATGGATGGCAGAGGAAAGCATTTCAAACATTATAAAATCCAAGAAGATATGATCTTTCCGTGAAACAAATGTATCGACTTTATTGTAAATATTTCAAAAATACAATAACAATTTAAACAATAAAAAGGAGTCAATGTATATAAAAATATTCAATGAAGAATTTAGCCTTTCTTTTCACGGTCCTACAAATGACATTTGTGCTAAGTATGACCAGTTTAATGTAAGTCTAAGAAGTATGAAAAATAAGCAACTAACAAAATTAGAAGAAGTGAAATAGGAAAACCTTTTACTTGAAAGGAAAAAATATTTCGATTTAGCTGATAGTGCTTATAAGCAAAAGTCATTAGACAACGAAAGAAGCAAAATAGACCAAACATTTGTGATTGCTTTTTTTGACTTAGCAAAATGTCTACCAAACCCATACCTCCTGAACGGTGTTTCGTTTTATAAAAGGCAACTATGGACCTACAACTTAACAGTGTTTAAGACTACTACATCACGGAATGTTTGAATTTGTTTCCTATGAAACGATACAGTAGCTGGTCGTGGTGGGCAATAAATAGCTTCATGTATAAGAAAATTAATTTTGTCGCTACCAACAGAAGTAGAAATGCTTCATTTGTACAGTAATTCTTGTTCTTGCCAAAACAGAAACATTTTTGTGTCCACAGTGATATTGTTAGTGATACGTGACATAAAATAAATAGGAAATTGTTTGAAAGAGGTACATCATAAACTATACACTATCAGGAAAATTAGTACATTGTAAAGGAAATAATGGAGGGGAAGCTGTACTGTGGGTGCAAATAAAGTGGTTGAAATACACCCAAGAACATGAGTAGTTTTGCAGTGCAACAGTTTTGCAAATGATGAAGCTTTTAAACAATTTGATTTAAGGAGGGGTTCTACTAGAAATAGAAATAACGAAATAAAAATTGAGCAACCAGAACCCATTAATTTAGAACCTTTGCGTCTAGCTGACATTAAAGTAAAAAATTTGTTGGATTTACTATCTTGCATTAGCGAATACAACAGGCCATTTTATCAAAATCTTCAAAAATCAAATTACATCGATACTGACATTATTTCAGTTCTAGACACCAACGAAGAAGATAAGGTTTAATTTAATTTCTAATTTATTATTTATGTTAAAAAATAAAAAAAATCATCTTAATCATATTACTTTACTGCTCTGTTGCGGGCCAATGTCCCTATCTGGCAAAATAGGCACAAGGCCAATATAAAGAAAAATAATAAAAGAGTATTTAGTGCAATGAAGCTTGGCATTATGTTAATACATATTTAAAAAAAAACACCACAATATTTTATAAACTGATTAGATATTTGGATAAACAACATACTCCAAACCTGTTAACCCAATTTTATCCAAACAGTCAAAATGGATATTGGCCTTTTTTCTATTAAGGTAGAGATATATAATGTATATGTAAGAATAGGGTTCATATTTACAAAAAAAATTGTAGGTTTTTATGATGTTATGAAAACTCTACGATAATATTAAAACTTAACAAACCAAACAAAAAAAAAACAAAAAACATAAGAAAAACTGTATGCGAGCACTATTGTTCATTTATTTCATTATTGGTAAATGAACATTAGTGCTTGCATACAGTTTTTCTTGTGTTTTTTTTCTCGTTTAGTTTGTTAAGTTTTAATGATAATAAATATATTCTCCTCTAAATTTACATTTTAATGTTGTCTAAAAGAAATGTCAGCTATCCCCCTCGTTGAAATTCAACATAAATATTATTTTTGGTTTAACCACTGTGGACATTGGAAAATAAAATTTGTACCTGCATTTAAATTACAAATTATTTTTGCCGTTTGTAAAATGTTTGGATTCCCTGTTAATCGAATTATTTTAAAAGGGTTAAGTAAACGGGAATTTATTTATCGGTTTATAAAGAAAACGAAATTGTTATAGAAGAAAAAACTGTAAAAGTATTATAAAAAAATTAAATATCTGTCAGAAATAAATTCGGGTGTAAACTGCATTTCTTGCAAATAACAAACATCATTAAAATGTTTGTAGTCATTTATTGGACTTAAAGTAAAACTCGTTAAAGTGTGTAAAAAAGCTCAAGTTTCGAGTTTATTTAACTCATTATTAAAAAAGTATTATATTATTAACCACAGTATAAAAAATACAGATGTTAATAATTTACAGTCTTATTCTTGTGAGGATGCTAGACTAACACTATTAACAGATTTAGTTTAAGTATATAATTTTTTTCTCCTGATAACTTTATCAACGTTTTTATTCACAAAATAATTATTACACTGTCTACGTCTGTTTCATTTTTGTAAGATTAAATATATTTTTAGGTTCTTCTTCTTCTTAAAGTGCCCTCTCCTCAATGGAGGTTGGCTACTACAATTTTAAACTCTTCTCTATCTTCAGCTGTTCTTATTAGCTGTTCAAAATTTAGCCCTGTCCATTGTCGGATGTTTCTGAGCCATGATAGTCTGTTCCTTCCTAGGCCTCTCTTTCCCTCGATTTTTCCTTTCTTTTGGAAGGATTTGGTACTTATTATTTCTCAGTATGTGGCCTAGGTATGATGTTTTTCTTACTTTTACTGTGTTAAAAAGTTCTCTTTCCTTGCCTATTCTATGCAGCACTTCTTCGTTTGAGGTATGCGATGTCCATGAAATTTTGAGTATTCTCCGGTAGATCCACATTTCAAAGGCCTCCAATTTATTTACGGTTGATGTTTTAAGGGTCCACGTTTCAACTGCATATAGAAGAGTCGACCAGACGTAGCATTTTGATAAACGTAGTCGAATTTCGAGTTTTATTCGAGAATCACAAAGCAGTTTTTTTATTTTTTCGAAAGATTTTCTAGCCTGTTCTATTCTCGATCTTATTTCTTGATCAGGATTTAGGCTGCTATCGATCCAACATCCCAGGTACTTAAATCTATTGACCTGTTCTAAGATGTGCCCATTTATTGTGCAAGGTTGAGGTACGTTTTGGTTTTTTCGGATTGACATCACTTTGGTTTTTTTAATGTTTATTTTCATACCAAATTGCTCACAGGTCGAGTTGGTCTTGTCGATGAGTCGTTGTAGACCTGAGTCGGAATTCGCAATTAACACTGTATCATCGGCGTATCTGATACTGTTGATATTTACGCCATTCACCTTGACTCCATCCTTGGAATCCTCCAGTGCTTCTTTAAATAGAAACTCGGAGTAAAGATTAAACAGCAGAGGCGACAGAACACATCCCTGTCTAACTCCCCTCCTAATTTCTACTTCTGCGGATGTGGAACCTTCGATCCTAACTCTGGCTTTTTGGTTCCAGTACAAGTTTTTTAAGAATTTGATGTCTTTTCCATCTAAACCGACTTCTTGCAAACGTTCTAATAGTAGGTCGTGTCTTACTCTATCAAATGCTTTTTCGAAGTCTATAAAGCATATAAATATATCTTTCTGTTGGTCGTAGCATTTTTGGGCGAGAACTAGTAAACTGAACAGGGCTTCTCTCGTTCCCATGCCGGCTCTGAATCCAAACTGATCGTCTCCGATTATTGTTTCGCAATTTCTATAGATACGATTATGTACGATTTTTAGTAGGACTTTTACTGCATGACTCATAAGGCTTATCAGACGGAACTCATTGCAGTGTTGTGGGTTTGGCTTTTTTTGGTAGTGGGATGAATATTGACTCCAGCCAATCTTGGGGTATTTTACCTGTATCATAAATGCGATTGAATAAAAGGACAAATAATAGGTTAGATAAACATAAAAAAGAAGAAAACTCATAACAAAACAAAAATAAAGTAAAACAGCACCCTGCTTTGGCCTGTGTGTCCCTGCTTCAATGTTTATACAACCTTCATCGCAAGCTGTGGCATAGAAGCAAGAGGGCTGTTATGTTCAATCACTCCCTCTTAGTTTTTATTAAACATGCAACAAAGTTTTTCTAATGAAGAAGGTTCATTTGGTTAAAGGTTCAGTGGTTGAATTTGTATCAGCCCAAGTTTCTGATGAGGCTAAGGTAGGCCAAAATGATTCGTAACACCATTTAGGTTCCTAGGCCATATATTTAGCCATTTAATTTAATAAAGCGATAACATCTTTTGCTAGAAGATTTAATCTTTTACATATATATATATATATATATATATATATATATATATATATATATATATATATATATATACATATATATATATATACATATATATATATATATATATATACATATATATATATATATATATATATATACATATATATATATATATATATATATACATATATATATATATATATATATATATATATATATAAATAAATAAATATATATATATATATATATATATATATATATATTTATCACCTTATCTTTCATATTATGAAACATCTGTGATACATTACAATGGTATCTCCCATAACAACAACAAAATTAACTGAATTTCTCTTTAATACCATATTATATAGTTTAAAGTTATTGTAAGATAAACACAGCTTTTGAATCACAGATGCCGCTACGAGTACGAGTATACCAATAGTATTTTCAAACGCTTCACTAATAAACCGCAAGTATTTACCATGGTACACTTGATACGGGGGAGAAGCAGAACATTTTTTGTTGTTAACTAATCCTTTCTCATGACTTGGTAGCTGACTAACACCCTTAATTAATTAACGAGTTGAGCTAAGTGAGCGGGAAAATGATAGAATGGGAATGATACAATGAAAATGATGTATACAAATAATAAATATAGTAACCTAGTTCTAACTGCCATGAAGAAAATAAAGGTCAATGGATAATGACAAAGAGCAACAACAGGAAAACAAGCTGGTTGTTATGAAAGGTAAAAGGAGAGTATATATTTTAAAAAGATTTTCTCTTAGAAATGATTAGTATTTTGAAGAGAACTTTACTAAAAACAAATTACTTAAAGTGCTTTGTACTTAAGCTTATAACAAACAATATCTGCTGAACACGATCACAACAGAACAAGACAATACTGTTTCGAGTTTACCATCTAATTTTGACATTTTCAACACCGTTGAAATGTCTTCATTATAATGTGTTAACTTTTTTATAACATGTTTTTTTTTTCTTGTAACATATTCTTTCTTCTTTTCACTTACATTATTCACTTATGACATACTTCACTGTACTGTACACTCCCAGCAAATTGCATCCTTTTTTATAACTCTAAAGGTATTAGAATCCCCACAGTTGGTATTTTTAGCTTCAAGGTCTTTAATATTTTTATTTAAAAATAAAAATAAAATGAACTCTTTATTCACAAATAAATAAGAAAGCTTCTTCAATAAAACTCGTTTTGCTGCATCCATGAAATCAAAAAGTTACCAGTCTTTTCCTAAAACTTTAACTACAGTTGAAGTTGCAAACAGGTTGTAGTACTCCTCTGGTTCAACTATTGTATTTTTATTTTTAATATTTTTTCAAAATGTTCAAATACTCTATCAGAAGGCATATAGCTATGTCCCCTGATTGGAAAGCAATACTGAATATTACTAAAAGCTCTGGAAGTCTGCAGATAAGTAAGTAGGACACTCAAAACATTTTGATCTTTAATTAAAAACCCAAAACAGTTAAAGTATCAATGATATTGCTGGAATATTTTTAAACTTATCTACCAAAATCCCCAAAAGTTGTACAGAGCTGAAACTACTTCATTAGAGCCTCGCCCAGTATGGTTTTCAATCAATGTGTACAAAAAAGTATTAGTAGAATCTTGTGTACCTTTCATCAATACAAAAGTTAGGTTATAAACCCAAATTTGTCGAGAATAAATTTTATTTTAAATACCTCACCAACTCTTAGTTTTGTAAGAGTCTGGTTTGGTTCCATGTTAAATGATACCTTAACTACATTAGCTTCTGTTTTTTTAGCAGTTCATAAAATTTCTCAGTTCATAACTTGAGCAATATGTACTTAGTACACAGGAAAGCTTTTTTTGAAGGTCTTTGAATAAATTTACTTCACTTTTTGGAAGATTTCAAAGTAAACAAACATCTGTCTTTGGACTGCCAAAACATGTAGATTGAATTTCGTCTAGAAGATCTTGAAGAAATTTGAGTAAGATGTAAGTGACTTATTCTGTTCTTTTTGACTCT